GTGAATTGCCAAAAATTCAAAATGATATATCAAAGGAGGGAAGGGATTTTCTTAAGGGTTGTTTTGTGAGGAAACTAATTTTTAGATTGACACCAGAAATTTTATTGAATTCATCCGTTTTTGGGTGGTTTGGACGTCGTTGAGGATGGGAATGAAGAATTCGAGGAGGTTGAAGATTTGAATGAGATTGAATCTATTTTGTTAGTATATGAAAGTGATGATGAATTAAGTAGTAGCTCATTTCAAGATTATTGTAGCTTTGTTTCTGGGGAGGATTTCTTCGACTGTTTGTCTAAAGAAGATGCGGAGGATGAAGTTGTATCCTGTTTTATCGAAGGAAAAACGAAAGAAGTAATACCTGAGGGTGTCATTGGTGATTCTGGTTTTGATCAATCTATCAAAACAACGATCGGTGAGATACGGATTCAATTTTGCTTTGTGTATGTTCAATTGATTATTTACAGGTAATATACTACGATTTGGTTCTAGTTTTCTGCTAACTTGTATATCTTCAATCATGGTATTGTTTAAGTTTTCCATTCCATCGTGGAGTTTCTTTGATACAGTTTGGCAAATGCAGTAACGAATGTAGCCAACCATCTATTGCTATATCTTTCTTATTCATTTTTATCCTTAATGTCAAATACGGCTAGGGCCTTTTGTAAGAGTAAAAAAATATACTAGCAGCTAGATGAATAGAGAAATAGCATTATGGTGCCTTATAGTTATTCAAAATTGTATAAATTAAAGAACTATGAAGCTTATAGTATCTATTACAACAGTCAACGGTTATTAGACTTGTTATGCTTTATGATTTTGCCAACCTGTTTACAAGTTACTGTGTATACTTCTTTGCTGACCCATTTTCAAGTTAGTGGCTCCTCGTTAGTTTTTTCTTGTATGGTAAAGGGTGGACACTCCACTTTGTGCGGTAACGCAATAAAGAGGAAGTGATGGAAAGAAGAGAGAAGAGGAATTGGAGAATTTGGGAGAGAAATTTAAAAACAATCTCACATATGTTATGCCATAAAAATCATTATCTTCATCATTCAACAGACAACAGACAAAGCACTAGTCCTATTTAGAGGTGAAATTCTTAAGATGACAGAATCTTAAAAAAGTAGCAATTCCTTGTGTTATGATATTCCTTGTGTAACTTCTTGGCTGTTTCACTACTATATTTATGCATTCTTTGGTTGATTTGTAGGAATATATGTTGAGATATTTTAACCAAATATCTCAAAATTCTATTGAAGAAAATTTGCCCCCCACCCCCCCGAACAATAATCTTGGGCCCGCCCCTGATAAAAATTATAATAACTAATCAGCTACAAAACCCTCCATGACATAATGAAATAACTTTCTTGAAATAGTTTTAGAATGAATTTCTTATTTTGGTATGGCTGCTAATAATTAATTAATCTTACGGAAAATCATGTGGAAATAAGATTTCATAGGTGATCAAACGTACATAAAGACATATATCTTGAATTCTGATTCTGAATCGATTGACTTTTCTCGCTTTTGTATGTGAGCAGCGGTGCAGATGTGTATAAAGCAAAGAATATTCGTGCGTCCATTGAAAGAAGTAGAACGATTGTGTTGGCTTTTTTTCTTGATTGTGTCTCCACTTTGAAATTGTATTTTCCTGCATTATTTCATTTCTCGGTTGTAGGCAAAAGGTTGAGAGATAGAAAGAGGATATGTGGTTAACAATATGATTGTATAAAGAAATCGTTAAACTATGAATTCAATGATATTCATGTCAAAAGATTTCATTTCCTCTTCTGTCCACATATGTTACATATACATTAGGACGATCATGTTAAATTGTACAAGATCGTAGCTTCTGCGAGATGCAATGATCATGTGCACTTTGACGTTGGAATCAATCGTTAGAGAAATATTGGATGTGAGAGGACAAAATGAATGAAAATATGGGTGTCGAG